GGGGCTGGATTAATAAACCTCTTTGGTAGGAAGAGTCTCTTTCTGATTGGAGCCAAAGTGAACATAGATCCACCGGTTGGGCAGTTTTGTGACCCTCTTTCTGCAACACCAAATGACCCCCATGATGATATGGGCTGTACATGCACCTGCCATTGACCACATGTAAAGGATTTACAGAATAAGAGGCTCTTGACAAAACCCTGTCTATGCCACACCTGCAGGTTCTAAGCAAGGAGTGTCTGATATGAAGATGGGTGTCCAAGGCATGGGACCTGATGATTTCCCAAATGGCCAATAAATGAGAAGGAAATTGTGACAGACATCTGCTGAGCTAACCTTGAGGGTGAGTTTAGAATTGGCTGTTTGGCAGGACTTGGTGAATGCTTTGGTCATATTTTTACTCTGTTCATTCATTCTTGTATTCCAAAGACAATCAATGAATGCTTGCTCTGTGCCAGGATGCTGATCCACTCACCGAGATTGGCAGCACAGAGGGACAGTATGTTTTGGAAGACAACAGGAATTCAACTTTAAGCATGCTGAGTCTGAGGCACCCCCTACTCTTCCCCAATCCCTGTATCTAATCAGGACAAAGTCTTGTCACTTCTGCCTTTTGGATATTTTTTAAACCCATCCACTTCTGTTTGCCCTCCACTGCTACTCCAAATTTCAAGCCAGAATCATTCTTTTTCAGTGCTTAAAAAAAATTTTTTTTCAGAAGACCCAAATCATTGCCTTAATGGGATAACCACCATTCCTACCATCCCCACAGCAGCAGCAACAACATACAACAGCCTATTGAGCTCTGTATGATCCCTAATAAACTGTCAGTGATGAACTTTCTTTTTTCTATAATTTTTTCCCATCACTATTTATTTCCTCTTTCACTTCTACCCACCCCTCCCCCCCACAGTCACCACATTGTTGACCCAGCCAATGAGTTCTTTCTCCTTTTTTTTTTCTTTTTTGCTCAATCCCTATGCACCCCCAACACCCCCTCCCACCAGAGCTGTCTGCCTGCTCTCTATCTATGAGTCTGTCTCTATTTTGCTTGCTAGTTCAGTTTGTTCATTAAATCCCACATATTGAACCCTCAACCTGGGTATGTGCTCTGATTGGGAATCAAACCTGCCACCTTTTGGTGTATGGAACATCGCTCCAGCCAACTGACCCACACCTGCCAGGGCTGCAGGCTGGTTTTATTCTTTTGCATGTAGCTTTTCATTTTGCCAGCACTATTTATTGACAATGCTTTCTTTTCTCCATTTTACAATTTTGTTTCCTTTTTAGAAAATTATTTGGCTACACATATGTAGATTTATTTCTCATCTCTCAATTCTGTTACATTGGTCTGTGTGTCTCTTTTTCTGCTAATATCATGGTGTTTTGATTGTCGTCACTTTGTAGTATAATTTGCAATCAGGGAGTGTGATACCTTGGCTTTGTTCTTTCTTTTCAGGATTGCTTTGACTATTCAAGGTCTTTTGTACTTCTATAAAAATTTAAGGATTTTTTTGGGTTTTATTTCTGTGAATAATGTCTGGGATTTTGATAGGTATTGCATTGAATTTGTAGATTGCTTTAGGTAATATGGATAGTTTAACAATGTTAATTCTTCCAATCTATGAATATATTTTCATTTATTTGTATTTTCTTCAATTTCTTTCAACAAAGCCTTGCAGTTTTAAGTATACAGTTCTTCACCTCCTTGGTTAAATTTATTCTTTTTTCTGATAATTCATTGTTAGTATGTAGAAACACAACATATTTTTGTTATGTTATGTTAATTCTTCCAATCTATGAATATATTTTCATTTATTTGTATTTTCTTCAATTTCTTTCAACAAAGCCTTGCAGTTTTAAGTATACAGTTCTTCACCTCCTTGGTTAAATTTATTCTTTTTTCTGATAATTCATTGTTAGTATGTAGAAACACAACATATTTTTGTTATGTTTTGTTAATTCTTCCAATCTATGAATATATTTTCATTTATTTGTATTTTCTTCAATTTCTTTCAACAAAGCCTTGCAGTTTTAAGTATACAGTTCTTCACCTCCTTGGTTAAATTTATTCTTTTTTCTGATAATTCATTGTTAGTATGTAGAAACACAACATATTTTTGTATATTGATTTTATATTTTGCAACTCTACTGTTTTTGTTTATTATTTCTAATAGTTTATGGTGGAATCTTTATAGTTTTCTCTAGGTAAGACAGTGTCAATTAAGAGACTAAGATCAATCACCCTGCAGGCAGAGGCAGACCACTGGAAGATTTGAGTCTTTGCCTGATCTGTTTCTGGACTCGAGTCTTGGAAAAGCAGACTTTGCTGTGCATCTTAGTCCTATTCAAATTCACCCAGCCCCAGTAGATGGAACAATAAGTCATGGTTATTGACAGCTCCAAACAGGGTACACAAGGCTAGTCACAAAGAGCATCTGGCATTACCCTGCACCAGAAACCATCCCAAAAGACTGAGAGTTCTAAAAGATCTACTTAAAACATAGAAACAAGCCCAAATGGGCAGCCAAAATGGGGAGACAAAAAACAAAAAAACAACAAGCTCCAAATGAAAGAACAAGAGAAGTCTCCAGAAAACAGGATAAGAAAAGATATGGAAACTATGAAGGATGACAAAACATAAATAAAGAATACACTGGAAGGAATAAACAAGATAAGAGGAAGTTGAGGATTAGATCAGTGAATTAGAAGAAGGGTAGAAAAAATCACTCAGAGATCCAAAAAGAAAAAAACAATTAAAAAACAGGGTAGTTGAAAGCAGCTGTAAGACAACATGAAATGTAACAATATTCATATTATTGGAGTACCAGAAGAGGTAGAAAGTAAGCAAGAGTTAGAGAACATGTTTGAAGATATAATGGCAGAAAACTTTCCTAACTGGTGAAGGAACAAGTCACACAAGTTCAAGAGGCACAGAGAGTCCCAAGAAAGAAGAACCCAAAGAAGTCCATACCCAAATACATCAAAATTAAAATGCCCAAAATTCAAGACAAGGAGAGAATCATAAAGTCAGCAAGACAAAAGCAATCTGTTACCTACAAAGGTGCTCCCATAAGGCAGTGAGTTGATTTCTCATCAGAAACTCTACAGGCCAGAAAGGAAAGGCATGAAGTATTCAAGGTAACGAAAAGCAAGGATCTGAAACCAAACTACTCCATCCTGTAAGGTTATCATTCAAAATAGATGGTGAAATAAAGAGCTACCCAGATTTTTAAAAAGGCTAAAGGAGTTTATTACCATTAAATCAGCTTTGCAAGAAATGTTAAAGAGAATGCTATAATAATAAGTAGAAATAGAAAGAGAGAGAAATACATGCCCGGCTGGGCGTGGCTCAGCGGTTGAGCGTCGACCTAGGATCCAGGTGATCAGGGTTCGAGTCCCTGTCAGGGCACATGCCCAGGTTTCGGGCTGCAGCTGATCAATGACTCTCTCATCATTGATGTTTCTATCTCTCTCTCTCCCCTCCTTTCCTCTCTCTGAAATCAATAAAGATATTAAAAAAAAAAAGAAACAAAGAAAGAGAGAGAAATATAGGCATAAAGAATTAAAATGGCAATACATAAGTACCTATCAATAATAACCTTAAATGTAAATGGATTAAATGCTCCAATCAAAAGGCATAAGGTAGTTGAGTGGATAAGAAAACATGACCCAAATATATGCTGTCTCCAGAGACTCACTTCAGAACAAAAGACTCACACAGGATGAGAGTGAAGGGATGAAAAATTTTTCCATGCAAATGGAAATGAAAAAAAAGCTTGGGTAGCAATACTCATCTCTAATAAAATAGACTTCAAAATGAAAACCATAATTAGAGACAAGAAAGGTTACTACATAATACTAAAGGGATCAATCCAACAAGAGGATATAACCCTGATAATCATATATGCACTCAATATAGGAGCACCTAAGTTTATAAAACAACAACAACACAGAAGACAACTTCTGGAGGACTTTTAGGGAGAGAGTGACAGCA